TATTTTTCTAGGAGTTTCTAAGGTCCATGAGTTTTCCTGCCCCTTTGCTGCCCTGCCCATACACATCCCCATCCCTCGATGCAGGGCAGGGCTGCTGCAGTGAGTGTCTCCAGCCTTGGCCTTCATCCTTGTCCATCTCTTGGGCACATTGTGCTTCCCAGGGGCAGGAGGAATTTAATGGGGTCAGAGGGATGGAGAAAGGACAATTCATTTGCAGATTTAGTGTCTCTCTTAGCTAGCCTGTGTTGCCTGCTCCAGGGTTTATATGCCCAGCAGCTTGTACATTGACATATCTCTCGATTAAGTTATGCATCCCCTAGAAACCTCTGGTATAAACAAGGACTAGAAGAGAACCAATCTTTCATAAAATATCTGCTTTTTCTTGTTAGCTCTTGTACAAGCTTTTTCGTGATCTCTAACAGCAATTGTACATTCATTTTCAGCTTGAAACGTAGCTGTCCCATTTGGAAAACGTAATTATCGACACTGGTGTTATCCAAGACACTTTATTTGTCTAATCAGCTGAGTTGTCAGGTTGAGTTAGCAAATCCATTTGTATGAATCACAGAGAAGCTTGCAGCCCTGGTGTATCTGTTTATGATATTTATTAGGTACGTGTGCTGGATAGTCTGGATGCAGAAATTACCATTCTTTTGCCACAGTCCTATGCAGTTCGCCATACGCAAATACTTCTGAAAATCCCTGTGAAAATAGTACTGCAGAGATGAGAAAAAACCTGTGGATTTTACATCAGAGCTGGGTGGCAGAACACATTTTGAGGAACTTGCTTAACATTATAGCTAGCAGGTGCTGTGCATTGTAGGGCCATGTGTTATTGCTTTGTGAAAAGGTAAATTGGTCAAAACTGTGGTAATCCATTACACAGGCCTTAATGTATTAAGAAACATTATTTGTGCTTGCAACTGTCTTGAGGGGTCTGTAAAATCCACCCTTTGAAGAAAGGACTATAAAGATTTGCTGTACTCCTTCATAACTTGTATTCCTTCACCTTAATCAATAAAAAGGCTGCAGTAAATTAAGTTAAGGGGCAGAAATGTAGCTGAAGATTGATATGCAGTACCAACCTGCTGGCACTGTTTTGTTGCACCGTGTGCACTCTCACATTGCTTTTTGTACGTGCTTGTGGTTTGCAAAGGTGGGCTAATTAACATTAAAACTCAGTAACATTTTCTTGTGAATCTTCACACTTTGTTCATAGATCTCTATACTTCTAGACTGTTTAAGCACAGCATCAACAGTGATAAGTGGTCATATCACTGATTTATGGATATTAAGGATATTTAAGGATATTTCTTTTAGAAATCTCCGTATTTAAGGATAACTTCTTTTAGAGAAGAATCTTACTATCTTGCTTATCAAGTGAGACTGTAGTGATTGCTCTTGGAACTGGTAAGTGCAAAAGGAGAGAAAGGTCCAGTGTAAAGAATAAACAGGAAAATGAAAATTTACAACATATATTAGTTTGTTAATGGATAGAGTTCTGTATATTTTCACTTAAAAAAAAATAAAAGCAAACTTTTCACTTTGATCAACTGATTTCTCCATGGCAATGGACCTGAATTTTAATAGCAGCAATGAACAACTGCTTTTGCTGTGGAAGCACATTTATTTCCCTTCTTTTTCCCCATCACTTTTCTCAGCCTTAAAAAAAGAATAAAAAGAAAAAAAAAAATAAAACCCAACAAGGCAAAACCATAACAAAACCCAAAACTACCTTTCTTTGATATATGTATATCTATATATGCATATGCACATATGTATGAATTACAAATAAAAAACATGTTATTACTTCATAATTATAGTAAAGAATTGAATTCCAGGTTCCTTAGAAGAAAGAATTAGAAAGCAATAATTCTCAAGGAACCAAAAACGATTGTAGTTAATCCCCCTCTGTCTGCAAGTCATGAAATCCCATCTCTGGGAGGCAGCAACCTTTTAATCTATACATATCCAAGTTTGCCATCCCATTCCCTGCACTTCCCCCTTGCTTTTGTAAAAAATATTCAGCACTCAGCATGCTGCTAAGGAATACTTTGAATTTACTGAAAAAGTGTTTTCTGATTGCTGCAGGTTGCATTATTTGCTACTCCTCCTGCATCTCTAGGTCTGCAAATGAACTGCACTTTCTCACTCACACTGGGGTTATTGTGAGATATCCTGAAACGTGACAGGGGGAACACACTGCTCAGAAATCTCTTGTTAACTGGTGTTGGGGTTGTGCATGTGGCTGGGGCTGGGCTGGGGTGGCAATGTCCCTCTGCCATTGTCATGGTTTGACACTGGCACACTGCCAGCACCCCATGAAAATGCAACCTCTCAATTGAATGCTGTGAAATGAGATCAAAAACAGAGCAGAGCAGGCCCAAGCTTAATAACAAAGGAAAAAAACTTTATTAAATTACTACTACTATACTACTATAAAAGAAAAAAAAAGAAAGAAAAACACACACAAAACTCAAAGTGAAAACCTTCCTCCTCCCCCCCGCCCCCCAATGCCAACAAACCACAGTGAGACACAACTTGGACCCCCAATCAGATTCCCACCCTTCAGATAATCAATACTCAGTCCATCGAGGGAGACAGGAGTCTCTCCTGTGCCACAGACCCCCCAAGAAAACACAGCTCCACATCCTGAGCTTCCATGTCACACATGGCACTGCCTGGAGAAAAAGTTCTCCATGGTGACCCTTCTCCGTTCCATGCACAGTGCTCTCACCACCAATGCATGGATGGACAGACTGCTTTTAGGATTTTTCCTTTCAAGGATGCCCTGCCAAGATGGGAAAAAATAATAGTTCAGTTTTTCAGTTTTTGGAACCACAGTCCCCCCCATTTTCTTCCTCCCCTGAGGCCAGGGGTCCAAGAACAGAGATCTTCTCTTCTTCTTCTCTGATGACAGAAAGCACCACCACAAACCTCCCTAGCTTTTCTCTGTTCCCTCCACTTCTGTCTTTTCCCAGCTGCTGAAGCAGGTCTCTTGGCTCACTGGCATCCTCCTAGAATACAGTCTCTCTTGGAGGAGAAAATCAGTTCAGTCTGTGGCTAACAAGAAAAAGTCCAGCCAAAGCCACACAGCACCAGGCACCCTCAAGGAGCAGGAGCCTCCAGGCAGTTCAGCCCACGCTCCTGGTGGCTGTGCATGGAGGTGAACAAGCACTCAGCATCTCACAGATGCAAAACTAATGACTTTTAAATCTAATATGGCCAAGTGTTCATGCCAGTTATCAAAAGCATGTTCCCATTTCCTGTAAAGATGTGCTTTATAATACTCACAGCTACACTTTAACTGACTGCATGGTGCAGGCTGTGGCTGTAAAAGAAGCTGAGTGCCAATTAAAGCTTTGGGAAGCAGCTCTTTTGCACAAACCCAGTGAGGCACTGTAGCATACATAATATCACTTATACACATCCTGAATTGCTGCCTTTCACTTCTAATACACTGCAGCAACACCTGGCTTATAGGACCCAGGACATTCCCATGGAAAATCAACGAGCATAGGCTTTTGGAAAAACATTCTGTTTATTTTTAATCTAATTGTTCCAAACCATATCAAGAACAAGCTGAAGGAAAGGTTCTTGGCATTATCCCTCTGGTAGACTTAAATGATAGAGAAGATCAACAGAGCAGTTCACTGTTAATTACATAATTACTGTTACCAAGCTAGAAGTATTTAGTAGCTTTGGGATCAAATTCTGTCAATCCTCCAAGGCAAGATCTTAACTACTGAATTTTTTATACTTCCTTATGTTTAAATCAATTGTCTTCTTTGTGGGAGACAACAAATAAATGGTTTTTCCCCATTTACTTCTTTCCACAGTCTCCTGTCTCTATATGTACACAGACTAAAATTCTCTCTGTAGTTTCTCTAGGGATAATAATAGCAAGGGTTTTTTTCCTCTGCAAATATATACAACTTCGGTGAATTAATAAAAATTTGGAAAAGGAGGACCAGCAGTAGATGCAGGTAAGTAAAAAAAATTGCTAACTATGGAACTACATTACTTTCTAAATTATTTTTTCACAGTATTCACACTTTTCAGTATTTAGGAGTTCACCATTTCTATCTGTGTTTTACAGTTTATTTTATATTTACTTGCCAAAGCCTTTTGTTTTATTTTTTCAATATTTTTCTCATCTTTTCATCTCACAGGACTGTTTTTGATTTTTATTTTTTTTTGTGGAGAGAAAATTCCTTCAAGAGGCCAACATCAATGTATCCTGCTGTTGCTTTCAGCTCCATCTCCTCCTGAAAAGTGTGAGCAAAGGCTTGGCAGCCTTTTAAACTTATTTTGATTCTGTTTCCAGCTTACAAACACTCAGAAGAAGCACCAAATCAGCTTTCTGGATAAGGGGTAGCTTTGCAACCAACATGAGATCCAGATTGTATTCTCTTTTTCAGGAGAACGTAATTCGCTCTGTTTTACTTGATGCAAAATTAGATTTATTTTCCTCCTTCTTCCCCTGAAAAAAATAGCCTGCTCAGCTGTACTAGTATCTGTACAGGAATGCATAGAAAGAATGTGTCAAGAACTTAAAGAGAAACAAGAACAGAATGTAAAATATGAAAAGATTGGTTCCTCCATCTAAAAGACAGACAAAAAATGCTCTGGGATAATTGTAATGCATAAAGATAGCAGTGTCTAACATTCTGGTTCCCTTTGTTAGAAGCGTGGGGGAAATGTTTCTTCTGTGCCTGGGAGATTAATTTAAAACTGTGTCAAAGTGGGTTCTGCAGTCCCCAGGTGCAGCTAAGCCACTCAGGACAGCAAGTAAGCACCAGGCAAGGTTTACAAAGCTGGGGGTTTCAAGAGGAATATTCTGCTGTTAAATTCCAGCTGCTATATTCCTGTACTGGTTTCTGTGTGGAGCCTGTACTTGCTTCTCTGCAACCTTCTTTTTTCCTGTTAAAAAAATTATTTTTATGATTATGACCTTGGCACAAGTATTACTAATATTAGGAATATTTTTATTCTTTTAGTGTATTCTTTTGGAAAGCATGAAGGAAATGGAGATCCTGGATTGTCTTTCTTGGCCAGGTCATCTTCAGAGTAGATCTTGGATATCCTTGGGAATACCACATGAGGACACCATTATTCTGTAAGTACACTGAGCCTTTTTATCTCCAGAGCTGTGACTTTGTTCTCTGGAAGAGCAACTAAAATCTAAAGCTATCTCAGTTATCTCTTAAAAACTCTACTTATCTTCCCTTTCAGCCAAGTGCTTTGATTTTTCATCAAGATTGAAATAGGAATTCTTTGGTTGTTCATATTGTCTGTATCAGTTACCAGTATTCAGAAGCCTCTGACTTTTCTTGCTATCAGAAAGGGTAGATTAGTAATTTTTTTTCTTGCATTTGCTATCATTTGCTCTCACACATTGACAGCTATTCAATGTCAATGAACAAATTCTTTCCAAACACAGCTTGGCAATTGCCATAAAACAGGAAGTATGTAAAGCATTTTCTTAAAAAAATTAGAAGTAACAGCCTGTTCATTTTTCACAATCTAGAAAATTATGTAAGTCAAAGAAGTGCTATCAAATATTTGGCATAAATGTAGAAAACTGAATTTAGGATGGATATTTAAATTGTAACAACATCTGTGGGATCAGAATTCATGAAACATTACAACCCAAAAATAAACTCCAGTCTGAGCAAGGTTTATATTTGGGAGTTTTTAAATCATAAGACCTTGCTTAAAAACTTACATGTGCTTTCCCAGGGAACAGCAATTTTTAGTTTGTGACAAGATATTTACCAACATTTGTAATATCTGAAATTTGGGATACCTAAAATTATGACAGGATAAAATCATTTGTAGGAAAGCTAAAAAAGAATTAACTGGTTCTTGCTTTCTTCCAAGTCATCCTGCCTACAAAGTTGTTACTCCTGATTATGCTGTTTCAAGTTAAAGATAAAAGGAGAGGAAATGTCTTTGTTACTTCCTCAGGCTCCAAAATCTCTTCCTTTCTCTCATCTGCTATACATTTTCATATTTTTGTTTTATTCACTGTTCCAAATGCTTTGGGTTCCAGGTGGTTTTCTTTGGGTTTGGAGCTCCTGTAAGAGTTATGGTGGATGAGTGTGGGAATCCAGAGCATCCCTCTGGCTGCCCTGGCAGGTCTGGGACCCTGGCAGGGGTCAGGAACCCCCTGGACAGAGCCCCCAGAGACACTGGCTGTGATCTCTGTCCATGGAAAAGAGTTTTCAGTCTTACAGGATGAATTACAAGCTCAGAGTGTTTGATATAAGTAAAAATTATGTGTGGCACGGGTGCAAAAGTAAAATTTTAGGATTCTAGATGAGGGGTCCAAAGGGGACAAGATGGAGGAAATTGGGTGTGTCTTGTCCTTTTTCTCCTTCTTCATGCCCTCCATGTCTCACTGTGGTGTTGGCATTTTTCTGTTGGTTCAGGCTGGGGACACACTGTCCAACGTAGGTGACAGATATTGGCACGTTATTGTAAATCCAGCCCAGGGAGTTTCTGGTATTTAATGTTTGTCACATCCCACTGAGGGCAGAGCCCCACACGCTGCCCTGCAGGACAGAGCTGGGCAGGGCAGCAGAACATGTGAGAGATAAACAGAATAAACAACCTGGAAACCAGCACAGACCAATTATGGCTTCTGCTTTGGCAGTGGGGCTGACAGACAGAGACTTTCTACAATCTTGGGATCATCAAAACCTCAGATTCTGACAAGGGTGTGCCTTTGGATGTACTGTGAGCAACTCAACAGAGTTTTACAGGGAATGAAGCCCCTGGGAGTCATCCTCACAATGTATTCAGGTGGAACTCTGGGAGGGCACAGCCACAAACAAGTCTGACCACCTGGCCCAGAGAAGCAGGGTTTTTTGGGTTCTTGTTTTTCATGTTGTTTGTTTTTTCTCTCTGGGTGTCACTGTTAAACTATTAAATACACTTGGTAAAGTAGAAGGGAAGCACAGGGAGAGGGCATAAGTCAAAAATTATACCCATGGCAATTTCTAGATTATTTTTGCTTGCTGAGCATAAATAGTAAACAGATAACTGATGTACTTGCTGTGCAGCTGTCACCTTGTCGGGGAATATATGTAGGAACAAAGACCAGTAAATGCCCTGACACCTCTTAAGAGGCACATTTGGTGTAGAAGGATATTAGCAATTCAAAAGCTAAACTGGGATCTGAAAAAGGTCATTGTCTGGTCAGCCAGTTTATTTTTGACCTAAGCAGTCTTTAATTTAAGAAGCAGAAGGACTGGGATAAGCAAGTATAAACCTAAATGGGCAGCTGGATGCCAGGTGATGTTGAAGCTGAGTCACCCTAAAGGGCAGCCCACTTGTACCTTCAATCAAGAGAGGAGAGAGGTAAAGACAAGAATGAGAGAAAGCACACCCTCCCTGTCCATATGATGCTTTGGTTTGGCCATTTCTGTAACAATAGCAAAGAATGAAAAAAAAGAAAGGCAAATAGAGAAAGATGTAAATTTTAAATAAAATCTGCCTATGTATGCTTGCAAATTAGCTGAAACCCTTGGTTTGTCCAAGTAAAAGCCATGTTTTAAAGGTGGTAATCTGGTTTTTGTAGTATTTCTTAATTCCAGTGTGTATTACAAATTTATGCAGTATGAATAAATCCCGAGCTTTCTCGTAACAACTCAGGAATGAAAATAATGAACAATCTTACTACAGCTTTCTTATAAATAAAACATGCTATTATGTTTTGTTTAGGGTCTTAAATCCTCAGCTCTATGCTGGTGGCTGGAATAATCATGTTCTGGTTTTAAGGTTGTGATTTTTTTTTCACTATAAGCATAAGTTTGTCACTCTTAAAAAGGAACTTTGTTCTGTTTCAGATAATATTTTTCTTATAGTTTGGGCCTCTTTCATCACCCAGCTCTGTTTTTTGCCAAGTCTATTTTCCTCATCCTTCATTACTATCAAGAGTGTCCTTTTGGGGAGAAGCTTTTGGCTGCCTCAGAAGAATTGCTGAATTTTCTATTTCAGCTTAGGTTTCCCTTATGGACCTCCTGCTTCAACCTTGGGCACAGAGCTGTTGTTGCAATACTTAAAAGCAGTATCTAATAGATCAGCTGTGACAGAACTCCCCAAAACCTCTCTAAAAAGTTTTTACCCAGTTCCCTCCTGAAATATCACTGAAGTGGTTGTTTCACAGATTTGTGTGGCTATAAAAGCTCTCAACTGCTATTATTACACAAGTCTCTAAAAATATATTGATAGGCTTAAGTCTCCCTATTTCTGATTCCACCCACTAAACACAGCCTCAGTCTGTTTCTCTGGCTGACTACCTTTTTCCTCTTGTCCACTTTCATCTGTTTGACTCTGGAGGAAAAAAAAAAAAAAAAAAGAAAAACAAACAAAAAAAAAAAATCATTGCCATGGCCTCAATAGTAGCTGAGAAAAAAACAGGGTGAAGGAATGAAATAATTCCAGTGCTCCAGTGTATAAATCACAAAAGCTGAAGTGGGATACCTGCTTAGCTCATCCCAGTGCATCAGAAGCCATCTGGTGACTTCCCCACAGCTCTGACCTGTGTCTGGGGTCTCAGGGATGGTGATGTGGAGTGGAGGAGAAGGTGCTAATCATCTTTTGAGGCTGCCAGTACCTCTGGGTGCAGCATTATGGCTTGTTTGCTTGTTGCTTATGAGATTTAGAAAACTAGTGATAGTTGCTGAGTCGCGTGGATCGCCTCAAAAGCAATTTGGCTTTGGTAAAGCATAAAATTAAGCAAAGTTCCCTCTTCAAAAGAGGTACAGAGGCCCATAGCTAACCTGGCCAGATGTGCAGCACCCAAGGATGTTTTAAGAGGAGAGGGGCTGGACTGGGGCAATGAACTATCAGTTCACTGTCACAAGGAGCAAGGGTGGTAATTGCAGGGGAAGCAGTCACACAGGCTGTGCTGTCATTAACTTTTCCTGCCTGTCTTTGCCCCATCGTGCTGCACAGCAAAGCTGTGGACTTTTTGTGCAGAACACAAACTGACAGAACTCTCTGGACCCCCAGATAACTGGGCAGTCAAGTCTATTCCCCTGGGACCAGGGCAAAATTTTCAGCAGCTCTCAATGAACTTCAAACCTGGAGTAAGAAAAGAAATTATACCATGTACCATTATAATATACTATATATGGTATATTATACCATTATAATATACCATATATGGTATATTATACCATTATATCTGTGTATGCCAGGTGCACTTATCAATTCTTCCTGTACTGTCTGCTCCACATGCTTCACCAAAACAAAATTCTCATTCTTCTGAGACACATTCTGTTGGAGACAATGAAAGGATGAGAAATATTTTCTGGGAAATTAGTCAGCTCTGTATTTGTTGACAGTAAATCTTCCATTGTTTCCTGTGATCTTGAAATTCTCAACAAGTTCTTTTCCAAACCTAAATGTCCATGGGTAGGTTTAGAAATATTTTGGAGTTAAAATATGCAGGTTTTAAGCCCCAAAATTAAATATGCAGAGCATTTACATAATTTAGGACTCTATTATTATTAATTGCTTTGATACAGACATGCCTATTAAATTGATGAGAACTCCTCATTATTTTTTAGTGCCTCAGTAAAGTTTTCCCAGAATTTAAATGCATCTGCATGCAGAAACCTTGCCTGGTCTGCCTCTGTTTTTCATCACAGGAGACTGGAATATATTTAGCTTCAAGAAAAAATATTTAGTTAAAATGTAGTTGCAAAGCTCCCATGGCACTGGAGATTTTTTTAGGGAATGTATTTTAAAAATTGGTGCTAAAGTATCTTCTTTTGCTTACATCTGTGTCTTGGGGTTTGGGCAGGTAGGAATGGCTTTCACTCTGAAAAGAAATAACAACACATCTCTGGAGAGTGCTCTGCTATCTGTACATCTCCACTTCTATTTTGCACTAGGCACTTTAAGCACGTCTCCAAATTATAGATATGCAGGAGTTCACAACTTACCTGGTGGAGTTTAATGACTGAGAGATGCTTCTTGTGTATTTAAGGATTTTCAGAGGACTTAGCAGAAATGAGATAATCAATCTTGCTGCAACCCTTATGTCAGGTATGTAGTTAATTGAAAAAAAGACAACTGATTCTTCTGTGGCCTCTGGAAGAAAGCCCTTGAAGGGCAGCATAATGTCACACATGCTGTGTCCTGGCAGCTGCTTGCTTCAGTTAGCATCTTGTCCAGGTGTGCTTCTTGATATGGATAAAATTTGCTTCCCATATGTACATTCTTCAGCCATAAACTCTAAAAACCTCTCCAACATGTTGCTCATGCACAGGATAACTGGCTGGTTTTTGAGATTGTTTGGGGTAGGTTTCGAGCTGGTTTTTGGTTTGTTAGAGGTTTTTTAAAATGCAAATAGGGTAGCTTCATTCTGGAACATGCTTAGTTTGTAAGTGACAAATGGTCTGGGAAAGCCCCAGGGGCAACTCAATATTAATGAGACCAGGCAGCAGAAGTCCCCATTGTTACTCAGTGTGGTGAGCCAATGTAATTGGAACTATATAAAGTGAAATAGAGTTAGAATTTCTCAAGGTAATACCCCTAAAAAGTCATAAAAATAAAACATCTTGCTTCTGCTCTTACCAGCACCTCAGGAATACATTGCACTTCTCTCATTTGATTCTTTCCACATATATTTCATTTCTTAATGCCCCCTTCCTTCATTTTTCATCTCAGCCTAAAAATTGTGTTAATATTTTGTAAAGGTTGATATGCTGATTTCAGTTTTAGTCAGTTTTTGTTTGGTCACTTCTGAAGACACACAAGAGACTGCAGCAGTTCAGAGCATCGCAGTATACCAGGACTCATTCCTTCAAGAAGAACAGAGGCAAAATTTTTAATATAAATCTAACATTAATCATCATTCTAAACTCTTCTTGTGAGTATTATCTTACAGAATTGTGCTCCCTTTAAAGTTGTCTCTCTCTTCCTAGCATACCAGAGACATGCAAGGCAGGACTCTTTGTGGCAAGCACATTTCTCTCCCTCTGAGGGTTTTTCATAGAGGTGCACAGAGAGAAACGAAAGAGAAAACAATTTCTATTTTTGCTCCTTGTTTTTCCCATGTGGAATGTGTTTGGAGAATTGTTTACCTGCAGTGAGTGCTTGGTTGGATTCTGGTGAGGATTGTTTGAGCCTGATGGCCAATCCAACCCACCTGGGGCTGGACTCTCAGAGAGGGTCACAAGTTGTTAGAGAAAGTAGTTTGTAGTTTGAGTATCCTCCTTTTATATAGCATATTAATGTATTTTAGCATAGTTATAATAAAGAAATAATTCAGCCTTCTGAATTGAGTCAGACATGGCCATTTCTTCCCATTGGGTTCACCTGCATTTACAATAACTCTCCATATCAGCAATACACTGTGAGCAGAGGTCTTGCCAGTTTAGTTCAGGTTTAATTTTCAACCTTTTTTCTCACAGCTTCCAGCCATCCCATGGAAATGTTTATTTTACAGATGGCCAGCTTGACCTACTGACTTTAGAATAGGAAGTTACTCCTATGTCTCAGTTTATCATAACACGGTTAAACAAGTGCAGCACAAGTCATTCCGAAGAACCGAGACAGACGTTCCAAGTCAAAAGTTTAATAAGAGTTGTCTTCAAGGAGAACCTCCTGTAACAAGGTGGGTATTCTTTCCCCTCAATGTCTCTGAAATACGACATTTTCTTGTTTAGGTTGTCTGTTTCCATGAAGGAGACTACTGTAATAACACTAAGAGTGAAGAATGTGACATTTAAATTGCATTTACAGTTAAAAAGGAAAAAGAAACAGACGGTGTATGAATGTCTCTATATTATATATATTCCTCTGTTCAGTGTAGAATCAAAACTATAAAATTATTTTCTTCGTCCCTGAGATACATTTATTTTCATACACCAAACACTGAAAAATTGTTGCAGAAGAACTGAATGCACTTAATGCTCAGCCTATGTCAGTGGCAGAAAAGTCTCCACTGTGATACAGAAAATCTATTGATAAATATTAAATGAACAGGACTCACCAAAATTTGCCTTAGATCAGAACCTCACACTCCTCAACGTCAAAGTAGCATGCAAAGTACTCATTTTCAGATTCAGAAAGACACAATGACTTGAATAATAAATTACAGATCCTAAAATTTAATTTTCCCAGGGCACTTGAATTCAAATGCAATTGATCACCTTCTGGAGCAAAACCAGTACAACAGGAAGTTAAGCTGGAGCTGAAGCATCGAGCTGCTGCTTCCACAGCAGCAGCACAATCCTTTGTGCACTCCTGTGACTTCTTTGACACTGAGAGTGTTGGAATTCGGTGGAGTGGGAAAGAAAGCCAGCAGTGTGAATTGCAACGTGACAGCAGATTTACTGGTTAGTCATTTCTCAAATTTCTGTAAGATGTTGCACTGATAATTAGGAAAATATTGATTTCTCTCACATAGAAAGCAACATTTAGAAAATATTCTCCTCCCTTTATTACTGTTTAAGTCACACAAAAAGATTGTATACAACAACAGATTATCTCCGTTTTGACCAAGTAGGAACCAGAAGAGTGTAAGCATTTAAACTACTGCTAGGATAGCAATGAACTTTAAAAAATTCTACCAGGAAAAACAAATCACATGGTTGAGCAGTTTTGATTTTAAATCTGGATGGGTGAAGGAAGGAAATTATTATTATTTTGAATAACACATACTAATTATGCAAAATCCTAGCACAGAATGGCCTCTGTAAGCAAAATCATACCTACATATCATTAACCTCACATTTTTATTAAGGGCAAAAGAAGAAGCACATTATGTGTAATACCAAGAATTTAATTTAAACCCAAATGGAAATTTTACTGTCTAATTAAATAGTGTTTATTATCCCACTGAAGTCATCATTGAAAAAAATAAGTACTTTAAAAGAAAAAATACAATACTATAGACCTGTGATATTCATGCTTCTTAGTATCTGTTACTTCTCCTGAAATCTGTTACTTCCTCAGAAATAAGAGTGGATCATGCAGCTCAAACCTTTAGCCATGAAGAATATGATCTTTTTGATTTCTCCTGTCTCACCTTGAGATCCTCTTGGGTAATACTTCTGTGTTTGCTAACGTGTCATGCACCTTGCTTGCTCTTTACTGAGTAGTTCATGGTGCAGCTGAATTTCCTAGAATTCCTAGAATTCATGGGCTATTTCACATAAGCTGCATGCTTGTTCTCTGTTTTCTTTGTACCTCTGCAGGTACAAAGGTGCTGCTCAGCTGTCAGTCTGCATTTCTCCAGCTGACCTTTGGTGAGTTGTGGATAGTGCAAAGGGTCCTCTGTGAGTCTGACCCATCCCTTACCATCCCATGAACTTCTCTAGACCATCTCCTATGGACCCACTTTCCAAGGTGCTATCATACCATGTGTTTTACAGAGAATATCTGCATAAAACTATTGTACCATACAAAGATAAGCAAAAATAAAGCAAATTAAGCATAACCACATGGTCATTCGAAAAATTTCTGTTACAGTTAAGCTGGGAAATTGCAAGCAGCTCAAGAGAAGCTTAGACAAAGGAAACTTGGGGAGCTGCTGTCCTGAGGCCTTGCAAGCTCAATACTGCTGCTAGCATGGCAATATACTGTGTACTGGGCACCAGGGCTACACTGCACCAGCTACAAAATGATATACGTTGTCTTCATTAGTATTGTGATTCCTGTTGGGGACATCACTCTTGGAAACCTTTTGGAACTACTTCAGTTAGTTTTTTATGTGTCGTGTCATTTCTATGGCACCATATTTTCTCTCCTTGAAGGATTTATGCTTGCAATCCCTGACTTTTTATATGAGAAGGCTGACAGCAGGTTTCAGTCATTCCTACTCCTTGATGGGCCATCATCTCTCACACTTCAAGTCATGGCACTTCATCTACCCTGAGAGTTACCCATTCTGGGATGTGGCAGCAGGTCAGGGAATATGAAAAGCAGGCTCCTCTGTGATGGGCTACTCTGAAGATTTGCTTTTAACAACAGCTGTTTGCTTGCATTTGTCTTGATACATTCAATTAATACAAGGTCCAGGAAATAATTGGCCATGAAGGATGCAGTTAAGCATATTATTCAGAAGAAAGGAAAAAATGGGGCACAGGGTTAGACATTAGGTCCTACATTTACAATAATTTGGTAACTGCTTTGGTTTGCTCTCTCTGGTTGTCCCCCAGTTTGTGCCTCACATGGAGAGTTCAAACATACTCCTCTAGTGTAGAAGGCAGGGGTTCTAAGGACTTGTGCAAAAAATCCCCATGGCTTTGGAGGAAATTAATCTTTCAATTCATCACTTGAGTCCTTTTGATGTTGTTGCTCCCCCACTAGCTACCTTCTGTGCTGATACAGTAATAAATTACACCCACTAAAGAATGTGTAGAAACAAAATGTTGAATGACCTTTTGTGTTTATGATTTGCTCTGTTATTGCATATACATGTGTAAATGTAGCTATAGGGAATAAAATAAATAACATCTCTTGACAAGACACACTAACAACAAATTCCCTCAGATTATTTCACTCTCATGACCTAATAGGGCGTGGTTCTGTTCCATCTCTGCAAACACACATCAAACATTTATGGCTCCTGTTGAACCCAGCCTAATAGTGAACTTAAACATTTGAGTCGCCCAACTTTTTCTCTCATGTTCACAGTTTCAGTTCCCAGGGCCTCATCCTGGGGAGGGTAAATGAAAAAAACTGTTCTGCGTGGGAAGGGGAGGAGACACATCCCATGGAGAGAGCTGGAGATCCTTTTCTTTGGGCAAAGGGTGCAAAGTCATGTTGGAGACCTGCATGCATGGTGTACTTTAGTCTGAAAATTAACTTTGCAAACAAAATTTCAAATGACATCTTGCTTCTGGTGGCTCTACTAAAAGAAACTAAGTGACAAGGAAAGGCTGTTGTTCTTGTGATGCTCGAACCATCTTTACAAAAAAAAACAGATTTTACCTGCCTCCATTGGAATTAACAACTAGCTTTCTTGCAGATGCAGTAAGCAGTGGTGCTGTGCATGTATCTGAGAAGTGTATGGTTCCTAGAGCTGGCAGCTAAAATTAAAAATGCCTTTTTTATCATTTGATGTTAACAGGAATGATGCGGAGTGCATTCAGAGAAGGATCTATTGTATAAAACAAAGGCTTCTTCCAGTCTCTCTGGAGAACAACACTGTGTGAGAACAGTGCTCTGCTTTAAATCATTAAAGATAACCTCTTGCCAGGTAATGCGAGATAATGATAACACATAATACTCTTCTCTTCTCTTGCTGCTTTTTCCTCATGGCTCTATATTGTAGGTGTGATAGACCAGGGTGCTTACCCTCTATTCCCCTGAGCACTTCGAAAAAAATACTACATTTGTCAAAGGGAAAAAAAAAAAAAAAAAATCAGCTTAAAAGAGTCAATTGAGAGATGTCAAAAACAACCAGAAAATCTGCAGTCACAGGTGAGCTGTTGCTTGAAGATCATCCAGCTTTTCAGTCATTTGTGGGTTGTCTTCAAAAAATTCTGCTGAACTCGGTCTGGATTTCAGAACTGAACAGTGAATATTTTTTGTTTGTTTTCTGGGCTCCCTTCCCTCCCTATCTCCTGGGAAGAAAAGATAAAAAAGCAGAGCGGTTAAAGGGTTTGTGGGCCACAGGTACTTGTCCCATGGCAGCTATAAATTGCTTAGTTAAAGATTATGTGTTTGAATACACTTTTTGTAAAAAAAAAAAAAATTACAAAAAATCTCTAAACCTATCTATTTTCAACAAAAAATATTCTGACTGTACAAACACTAAAACAATGTCACTATATTTAATATATTAATGGTTTTTTAAGTTTGCCTTAACTCAGGGGTTTTCATATGGGCATTTAGAATCTCCAATAAGCTGCTGTAACCTCTTAACCAAATGCAGTGCAGATGCAAATAACATCTGAAATAATTACACATTATTGCCAAACACCAAGTTTGCTGGGGATGAAACAGATGTTAACAAGTTTGAAGGATGTGGACCTTCTTCTTCCTAAACCTGAAATACAGAAATCAGTGTTTGCTTTAAAGTAGTAATACTTTTAAGGAATTTAGGTTGTAAGGAAGAGGATATATTAGTAGTTTACAGTCAAGTTGTTTTCTAAATGCTGTTCATGAATTGTTTTCCTTAGTCCCTGGAAAGAGTGGTCAAAAGTGGTTCAAATGCAAGTATATCTTTCAGGTTCTTGAACCTAAGCTCAGCATATGGTTTCCAAGGAGAAATTTTGCATTAAGAACTGTTGCATTAGATCAAGGGGCAAACATTTGCTGTTGACAGGAAATTGCACCACATATAGTTTGGTGCTTCTTCAGATGACAAAGTTCTCAGAAACAAATCTCTAATAGTGTGAGCTAGGACATCTGCTTGTTTCTGCCATATTTAGGGAACAGAAAATTACTGCTTGGTCAAATTATCATTTTGTGATGCATAATAGTATTCTTTTAATCCCCATTTCTGAATCTTTCTTTTCTTGAGAGAAAAATAGATCATAAGACTTTCCTTAAATATATTTGATGTCTAATTGCTGTTTTAATAGTTGGAATTTTCCTTATGGACTAGATATGCAGTGGTTGCATAGTTCTAAAAATTTCTTGGCATGTTCACTTTTAGACTACCTTATTCCATCTTTCTGTAACATTATACTCTTTTCCATATTATTCCACTATTTTCCAAGAAGAGGACTGACAGGGTTGTTGCTAATAATCAGAGATGAAGGCACAGCACCTCAGGTAATTTCTGCCCTTTGCTAGGTAGCAATAAAAGGATAGAAAATTGCTTCCTGTTTTATTTGTCTTTCTAGCCCCACAAGTGTATATTAAGCTGATAATTTTTCTGCTCCTCTTAAGGGATTTACAAAAAAGTTCCTCATCATCAAACATCACAGTTCCTAAATATAAATATAAATTTATATTTATTTCTTCTCTAGAGCAAATTACATCTTCCTGTATAGTTGATACATTGATCAGAAATTGCCAATAAATTAAGTTACAAGTAAAATTATTTTTATTTCAGAATTTCTCCTTTAGTTTGCCAAATGCACACATCTTCTTAGTATTATTTCCTTAAAATGTCTTTTGGGAATGTTGCTTCTCACCAAGTTAACCACTTGGATTACTCTTGTCTTAATCTAGTTGGAGTTTTTTTGGGAGTTTTTTGGTTTTTTGGGGGGATTTTTTTGTTTGTTTGTTTGTTTGTTTGTTTTTGCTTTTTCTGAAGCTTGTCTATTCCAGCATTGATTACCTTTCTTTTTGTTGTGCAAATCTTCTATATCTTGGTATTTAATTGCCTAGCAGCATAATCCTTATGTTCTATTTAACCTAAAGTTTTCAGTTCTTACTTAATCCTGCTTCGTTTATGTCAAGTTGTTTGCTCTCCCAGAAGAATTATGAGACAAGAAATTAGTAAAATTAAGAGTTTACAGCATGTAGAATATAGGAATATACTGGAGGTCCATAAATGAGGCAAGTAAAGGTTGCAGGAGTCACCATGCACCAGCTATCACAGAAATGCTGCAACTTTACTTTAAGATTTAATTTGATACACTTGTGTTACTGCCATACTGACTTTTTTTTTCCTTAGAACATCTCACATTTATCTAAACTAAATAAACTATTGCCTTTTCAGTCTGAGGGCAGTCTAGCTCCTAGAACTGCCTCTCCAGAGGGTAGAAAGGGTGAAGGCATTTGAGCTGAACTGAAAGCTTCCTGCTATGAAGGTTTTCTTTTTTACCTTTGGACAGCTTTTTTATTCCATATTCTATTGTACTTTCTTTGATGGCAATCCCTTGCCTATTGCTCTTGAAAAATCTAAATATAACCCCATCGCACAGGCAGCTGTGTTCTTGCTTCTTGATAAATTCACCACTGCCCTTATATTGTTCTACTGTATACATTGACTTTATCCAAGCATGAGTTTCTCGTGATTATTCTTATGATTAAACAGTAATTATATTTAATTACTAAAAAATCATCACATCTAACAATTATATAATTTATTATGTACGAGCTACACAGGTGCAGTTCTAGCAAGGTACAAGGCCAACATGTACCCAGGGTTTTTTCTCATGGCCTATTAAGCTTAATTTTCCTTTTAATCCTAAATCCCCATGATTTTAAAACCCTTTTACTATCAGTAATACCTTCAAAGGACCCTTGCAGTTAAGATAAATGGGTTTTTTCCACTGTAGAAATGAATAACACTTCAGTTATGCATGTATCCAAAGGAATTTTGACAAATGTATGCATTTTATCATGGTGGCTTTATATACTACCTCTTTATACACCACTCTTTTCAAGAAGAGCACCATTGCTTTCACTGGAGTCCCTTTTTTCCTAAATTCTCTCTCAAACTACAAAATCTTTTGAGGATTTCCAGGTGAAGAGGGGTTAAGATCTTTATTGCAGGCTTCTTGAAATTAAGTCACTTACCAAAGAAAAGTAAAT